ACAAACATTTCTTTCAATGAATACAGAAGAGCCAAAACCGTTTCAAGAGTCTGCAGACAGACCGACAAAAAGATTGGAGTACCTGTGTAAAGTGGACAAGAAGCTGAACATGTCACGTGTGTTTGTTTCCAAAACTCCTCAAGACGAGGTCGACAGAGGTAGGTGTCACATGTATTTGTTTCTAAAACTCCATGAGACAAAGTTGACAAAAATTAGGGATTGATGCAGGAATAGAAAGTTAGTACTACCTTTTTAGCTCACCTGGTCCGAAGGACCATGGAGATCTTATGCCATACCGCAGCGTCCGTCGTCCGTCCGTCAACTTTTCCTATACAAACACTGCTAGTCATGAACGACTTAGCAGATTTTAACCAAATTTGGTCAGAAGCATCCTTGGGGGAAGAGCAGAAGGGGAACAAATTTTGTATCAATGATGGGTCTGGCCCCCCTGGGGGCTGAGGGGCGGGGCCTAATAGGGGTAATATAGCAAATTCTTTAAAATCCTTCCTCTTCTGTAGGAATGAAAGCATTTGTTCCATATTTGGTCTGAAGCATCCTTGGGTGAAGGGGAACCAATTTTGTATAACCCCTGGGTCTGGCCCCCCAGGGGCCTGAGGGGCTGGGCCCAATAGGGGAAACATAGCAAATTATTCTTCAAAATCCTTCTTCTTCTGTAGGAATGAAAGGATTTGGTCCATAATTGGTCAGAAGCATTCTTGGGTGAAGGGGAACCAATTTTGTATAAACCGTGGGTCTGCCCCCCACCCCCCTGGCGGTTGATGGGCAGGGTCCAATAGGGGAATATAACAAATTCTTTAAAATCCTTCTTCTTCTGCAGGAATGAAATGATTTGGTCGATATTTGGTGTGGAGCATTTTTGGGTAAAGGGGAACCAATTTTGTATAAACGGTGGGTGTGGACCCCCTGAGGGCTGAGGGGCGGGGCCTAATAGGGGAAATATAGCAAATTCTTTAAAATCCTTTTTCTTCTGTAGGAATGAAAGGATGTGTTCCATATATAGTCTGAAGCATCCTTGGGTGAAGGGGAACCATTTTTTTTATAAACCGTGGGTCTGGCCCTACAGGGGCCTGAAGGGCGGGGCCCAATAGGGGAAACATAGCAAATTTTCTTCAAAATCCTTCTTCCTCTGTAGGAATGAAAGGATTTGGTCCATATTTGGTGTGGAGCATCCTTGGGTAAAGGTATAAACGGTGGGGGNGGGCCCCATAGGGGAAATATAGCAAATTCTTCAATGGCAGAATTTTGTCAAAATTTGGTATGAACAGTGTGTCTGACCCCCCTAGAGGCAGAGAGGCAGGGCCCAAAAGGGGAAATAGAGGTAAGACTTTCTTCTACCATAGGGATTAAGGGATTGTATCCTAATTTAGTCTGGAGCATCCTTGGGTCAAGGGGACTCAATTTTGTATAAATGGTGGGTATGACCCCCTTAGGGCATAGGGGTAGGGCTCTGTTTGAAGTTTATTCTTGCTATATCTCAAGTACTTGATGGATCTTTCTGAAATTGCATATGTACTTACAGCACCTACCATGGAGTGCTATATTTTTACTTCATACCAATTATTTTAAACATATATTCAGGTGAGCGATACAGGATCTATGGGCCTCTTGTTTTAGGTCACCTGTTGAGCTTTAGCTCAAGTGACCTATTGCTATCCGTCTTCGTCTTTCGTCATGCGTCTTCCGTTAACATTTTAGATTTTCAACTTAAGCTGAAATACTGTCTAAGGGATTTCATTGATACTTCATGGGAATGTTACTGACATCTCCCTGACCAAGTGTTATTTTTTGGGTCAATCAGAAATACAATATGGCCGCCGTTCTGAAAAACTATTTCAAAAAGTCAAGTTCTACTAGGCCAATTTTTTAAATAGGGGGAAATATGTGATGTAGGCATATGAACCGCCGGCGGGGGGTGGCTTCAGGCCAGAACATGGAGGAGAGTATGAGAGGGAAACATGAATGACATTTTCAATTTCGGTTTCACACTGTTCATTATAGATGCTTCGAATCGACCATCATTAGAATATAGTGTTTGAGTGATTGTTATGATATTGTATACTGTAAAGAGGGCCAGCCCTAAACAGTGTTGTAAAATATCGGCATTGACAACATGAACAACAGGCAAATGAAATAAGTCACTCAGTCCTCGAACTGAGAGAAAATAAAAACAAAATAGAGCCAAGACAGATATTCATGTGGTAGTATTTTAGTTGCAAGTGGGGGAATACTTACGTGAAAAAGAGGAAAATAATTCCAAAATTGGATAGGGAAATTGACCCATATTCTGTCATAAAAAAGGCCTGTATATATATATATATATCCATGAAAATGGATGTCAACACTCTAAGCTACAATCCTTGAACGCTACAGATCTCCAGACTTTGACAAATTGTTGAATTCATTTAACCTGGTTATGATAAACAAGGTAACAAGTCAACAGCTTAATTCAAATGTAAAGCAAGAAGCTGTCGCAGAAACAAAAAGTTACTTCCAGATAAACAAATTATTCCAGATAAACAAATTATTCCAGATAAACATGTTATTCCAGATAAACAATGAAGAGGAAATAAATTCAGTATTTCAGATAAACAAAGTACCAGTATTGCAGATAAGCAAAGCATTCAAGGCAAACAATGTACTCCAGATTAACTGAGTATTGAAGATAATCTGATTTTTTAGTTTGACTATGTTTCATTACCAAGGCTTGATGTTTTACACAAGAGGAAATTTAAGAGTTGAGATATTGATAGATGTTTTCTTTTTACAAAGTGAAGAAATTTCCAGGTAAAATGAGAATCTGTTAAGTATTCCATAATGTAGCCTTAAAATTCTGTTCTGTTGCAGATTTTGAGGAAGACAACCCTATTGATGAAGGCAATGAAGAAAAGGAAATGGATATAGATTTAAGTGGTAATAAATCTAACGTTGAAACCTCAGACACAGATAGAACGGCAATGTCTGTTGATACAGCTGGGTCTACTGTAACTACACAGCAAATGGACACATCTAGAGCAGCTTCTAGCTCACAGACAGAAACACCTAGTGTAGTGGCTGTTGGACAAGAAATGAACACATCCAATGATGCTCCAGTTTGTCCTGAAAAGCAGTGTGAACCAGATGGATAATGTGAAATAGGAAGAGTCACTGTAATTTTTATCCAATGATGAATGTAAATAAAATGATAATATGTATATATGTTTAATTTCATTTCTTTACATTGGAAATAGAATGGTGAATGTTTAACCCACCATGATATAGCAATGCTTGGCTGCTCATATCACTTTTTGTCTGTGGTGTGTTGTCCATCCATCAATCAATAAGTCCACCAGTGTTAACAATTTCTTGTTGCAAATTCAATTTTGAACTCACCTAGTATAAAGTGCCTGTGAGCTAATGCAATTGTGTGCCATCTGTTGTTTGTGCAGCATCAATATTTTCAAGTCCTTTCCGAAAGACCAAAAGGCATCGGACGAAATTCTAGTGTGAATAGTTTAAATGCGGCGCAGAAAAATAACATGACATGGTGAAGGATACATTCCGAAAAGGCCAAAAGGCATCCGTCTATAGTTTGGGGCAAATACTTTGAAAGATTTCTTCTAACCAACCAAGAGACCTAAGGTCATAAAATATGACCTTGACCCACTTTCAAAAACACAGGGTCAAATGTGTTAAAATGTTTTTACTCATTCACCCCTGAAATTTCATGATGAACTATTTGAACTTTGAACTGGAAGAGTTCAAATGTGTCCTCAGGGGTAAATGAGTTAATGACCAATCAGTAACCAAGTGGCCAAGGGATGAAGGGTAGTCAAGTGTGTTTAAAATAATGACATTGACCAACTTTCAGTATTTTAGAGGTTAATAGTGTTAAGAAACAAAAATTGGTTACCGGTAATGGCATGCTTGGGTGGAGGGCTTTCAAGTGTATTCAAATGAATAACATTGACCCCATTTCAGTATATTTATAATAGGTATCAAATGTGTAAAAACTTCAAGAAATTCTTCTGAAAGAGCCCTAAGGTCATGATATTTGGCTAAAGCATTCTTAGGTGAAACACAGCCATGTGTGTTCAAATGACCTTGACCCATTTCGAAGGTCGCAGAGGTCAAATATGTTAAAATATTAAATTTGCTTCTGAATGAGCAAAAGTTCTAGGCCTGTTACATTTGGCATTCAGTATGGTGGGTATGTGTTGCCAAGTTTGCTCCAATAATTGATTTTGGAGGTTGCTTGAGTAATATAAATTAGAATTTTGAAACAAAGATCCTTAAGTGTATTAAAATCAAGCATTTTGTGTTAGCTTGCTTACTATGGAGTTTGTTAAATAAATTTCACTGTAGGAAAAATAACATTTAATCACATGATTTTTGTGGACAAGTTACAACCTTTGATTTTACAAGTAAAAAAAGTACCAAATGCAGGTACATGTACATTACCAGAGCCAGAAGTATCTATGTAGTGAACTTAGTCTTAAGTTAGACTCTAATATAACGGAATTAGATTATCTAAGTCTGTTCTAATATCAAGAACATTGTAAAGAAATGGCAAAATCTTCAAATTTCAAGATTAGGATTTAAGGTGACAAATGTTACAACTTACAATGTGTTTGCCAACAGCAATGACTGACTTTAGAGTGATGCATATATTGCACCGTTTAACTTGTCTATTTATTAATTGAATTGAGAATGAGATGGTAAAAATTATACAAAAATCATCAGAAATAACTTTAGTAATTAAAGATATTGAAGTCTTTTTAAACCAATTAAATATTGATATGAAGAAAAAAACCAGAATACTTTTTGTTTTTAATAGAATTTTGTTTATACCCAAAAGTATTTTCTTATAGTAAAACCATGCAATTAGATTGCTATCTAAGTCCGTGGCAAGACGCCGCCCCATAGATTCCGTTTGAACGTTACAAGTCTACAGCTGGAAGGTGCGATTGTGTCCGACTGTTCAACAGAGTGACTTCCCCTGATGAATAGGTAATGTCCGGTTTTATGCACGTTAATATTGACAAAAAATATGGAACGTTGAACAGGGAGTGGTGGGATGTCACTTTGGCACCGAATGTATTATTGACATCTTCCTGGTATAAACCATAAAGGTATGTATACAATAATCGTTATCTGTGGTTTGCTTGCACTCTGCCATAGATGATGTATGGCGATATCGCGGAGGCGAACATTGTCCACATCGTCATGTGGCACATTTAATATTGAGATTCAGTGATTCTGGTATTTCGGACACACATGGGTTGGACACATAAGGTATGGGGGTATGTGTGTGTCTATGGGGGATCAAAGTGTTACCGTACCCAAACAAAACCATATCTGTGGATTCAGTCAGATTTTCTTCCGTGTGTAAAAGATAAGTTGCCTTACAAGCATCAGCTGTTAAGGAATTTCCCTTTAGCACAGCGGTCGGTAGAGCATCGCACTTGAGAGCCAATGCACTATCTTTATCACTATTCCTCGTCCTATTACAAACTGGTGCCGTTGACCCTCGCCGTTCAAGGTAGAAGAACCCTTGTCGGGGAGTCAAAGAACCTTGGTTGGTGATTTGAAAAAGGGGGGAATAGTGTAAAAGATGTGGATTAATTATAGGTAGCCTTACAAGCGTTAGCTGTAGAAAATTTCCTTTTAGCCCAGCGGTAGAGCATCGGGCTGGAGAGCCAATGGTCGTGTGTTCGAGCCCAAGCGACGGCACCATCTTTATCACTATTCCTCGTCCTATTACATGTGTACAAAATTTATTCACCCACACGTGCACGGAGATGCAAACAGTACAGTACAGGTGCTTAACCTCGTATATAGCCCGAGTTTCCTCTGGCCCTGACACCAGACTTTGACATTATTTCCTCTGACACCAGACTTTGACATTATTTCCTCTCAGGCCCTGACACCGGATTTTGACAGATAGAGATATCTATCTGTCAAAATGTCAAAGTCTGGTGTCAGTGCCAGAGGAAACTCGGACTACGTCATATGGCAATACATATATATGATATAGGAAATATAATTCCTCTTTCATGTAGACTGTCATTTCTTTTTTATTTGAAAATATTTATATATTCACGTAGTGTGGCTGACAGCTGTATTACAATGATGTAATTCTGAAGTCCATGTCAGATGAACAAACTGTGTACAACTCATTGACAGCTAAAAAACATTCCAGACAGAAAGATCTGAATTGATAACTACATGTACATGTGTATGTATGATTTGGGACAGTATGATGTAAACACAGCTAAATGTGTTACACTTTGGACAAAGATGCAAACTGATTGTTGTGTACATGTATGATATTTGAGAAAGAAAAAAATGTGATATGATAGCTAATATGTGTATGAAATTAGGAACATATCCATATCAGTCTTGGTCAGATATCTTTATATTTTTCTTCTGTTGAATAGGAAAGAAATGGAAAAGTCTGATTCAGTCAGCAGTCTATCAGCATCCGACACTTCCATGAATTATGCAAGCGATGAACATTCGGGGAGTCTCATCAATAACTTTGAATCATTCCGGACAGAGGGAGGATACAGTGACGTTACAATCCGCGTGGATGGGCAGGAGTTTCCATGTCACCGTGTCATTCTGGCAGCAGGTTCCACATACTTCAAATGTATGTTCTCATCAGGCATGGAGGAATCTTTCAAAAACACGATAGATTTAAAACAAATAGATGCACATGTGTTTGAAAACCTCTTACACTTTATCTACACTGGTCGGGTACAGATTACAATAGGCATCGTGGAGGAGCTGTTTCGCCAAGCTTACCTATTTCAGGTCACTCCCCTTGTTGACCTCTGTCTCAAGTTTTTCAAAGAGAACATGAATGAGATAAACTGCTTGGCAGCTTTGACCTTGGGCGATAGTCACGCTCACCAGCCGCTGTACCAGTTTGCCAAGGAGTACGCCTGTCACCATTTTCAGAGCATCAGACAAGACGAGGATTTCACCAAGCTCTCCATGGAGTGTGTGGTAGATCTGCTCAGCGACAGACGACTACAGTGTACCTCGGAGGATGAAGTGTTCGAAAGCGCAATAAAATGGCTCGATTATGATCAGGACAATGAACAAAGAAAATCTCTCCGTTATAGAATACTGGAGTGCATCAAATTCCCATTACTCACCCAAATTTTTCTCATAGATGTGGTTGCTAAGTCATCTCATGTTAAACAGGATGAGAGAGGGATGGAGCTATATAATTATGCCATAACATACCATAATGTCTATTCCAGACGAAATATGCTTCCTTCCTTCCAGATCACTCCCCGATTATCCTGCCCTGTATACGAAACCGCTGTCCTCCTGGGTGGCCGCTTGAGTGATGGACTGAGCAATGAAGTGGAAAGCTACAACGTCGATACCAAACAATTCACCACACTGAAACAACTTCCGTTCAAAAAGAGGAACGAGTTTGCTGTCTGTGCGTTCGCTGATAACATTTACGTATCTGGCGGCCTGCGTAGCCAGGAGTTCTGGAAATATGATGGTGTGTTTGAAACCTGGACTCGTGGTTCCAACATGATGCATGCCAGGAGACGACACGCCATGACTGTGGTGGATGACTGTATTTATGTGCTTGGTGGCTTTGACGAGTATAATGTGCTTGGTTCCATTGAAATGTGGAAGAGTCTGAACAACTGCTGGTCTGAGGTTGGCTGCCTTGTTCATCCTGTAGAGAACATGGGCTATGTGTCGTACAACAAGAAAATCTATCTGTTTGGTGGTAAAAACTCAGAGGAAATTGTCACAGATGTGGTTCAGTGTTTTGACACCACTACAAACACAACAACTTTACTGACCCGCACACTGCCAGCAAGTGACATGTGCCTGAATGGGGCCATCTTGAATAGCCAGATTTATGTGGTCGGGCTAGAGGGCTCCTTTAGATATACACCAGATTCTGACACCTGGGATGTGTTGCCAGATTTGAGCTGTGCAAGAGACTTTGTCAGTTTAGCAGTTCTAGATGAGAAGTTGTACGCATTTGGAGGGAGAAGACGCGGGGCGAAAGACAACTTGTATACCGACATCATCGAGTGTTTTGACCCCGAGAAGAGCTCATGGGAGATCTGTGGGAACACCCCCATCCCTATGTACTCCTACGGCTGTGTGCGCATCATGCTGCACAAGAAAATAGAGCCGGATGTTAATACATGTAGTGGCATCAGTCAGGTCGTACCACATCCTATACAAAACTGAACAAAATCACACGTGTACAACTTTCAATAAGAACAAGTTATTCCATTCATTGGAAAAGTCAGATTCATTATAGATAAATAGAGTTGTAAGAAACTAACTTGTTCATGGCCCGGTACATGTATCCGTTAATGCATGACTGGTTCTGGAAACAATTATATGAAGTCTTTAGAAGATGTTGAGAACAAAGACCTTAATTTCACAACATACAGTATATATATGGTTGTGAAGAAAAAATAATTTAACAACGCATTTTAATATATCAAAATCCTATAAGGATTCAGAAAATATTTAGGGATCACGCAATCTCAATAGACTTATCAAAGATGTGATTAAGGATGGCTTGGGTGGGTAAACATTTTCATTCCTAAAATATCTTTAAAAGACTCATTCAATATTAGAGACATTAAAAGATTTTTTTTTAAAAACAAAATCGAAATATTATTAACTTATCCATATATCTATAATTAGCATTTCTTCTACCTGATGCAGAGGAAGTCATTTCAGGCTAAATTTGCACCAGAGGATTAACAAAGTGTTTTATTTAGACCCTAAACCCTCAAAGACATTTGTACTACCAGTATATACGGATGTCTTTAAAGTCTTTTTGTTATCTGATGTATGGAATAATACATTGCATTTTATTAATATCAAAACCTTTTACATGTATATATGTTAAAAAAATAACTTTAATATGGTCAAAATTCTGGGATAAGCAACTGAATTTTTATAAATTATCCTATTTGGATGCTTAAGCGTTTGGTATTAACATATATATCATGTCATTTTCATGACTTTGTATACAATTCATTTCTTGAATGCTTTGGTGATTTGAGTGACCATTATACCATTTATAATGATTTGTGTAATATCCTTTAAGAACTCTTTATAATTATTCAGCATTACTATTTAGCAAGATGTATTTGTACTTTTGTAAAGATGGATGTAAATTTCCTTACAATGATATCATGATAGCTAGTCAGTCACTGAAGCATTTGTTTATAAGCAGAGTCACGTGGAGATGTGTCTATATATTTGTTTATAAGCAGAGTCACGTGGAGATGTATCTATATACTTTGTTTATAAGCAGAGTCACGTGGAGATGTATCTATATACTTTGTTTATAAGCAGAGTCACGTGGAGATGTGTCTATATATTTGTTTATAAGCAGAGTCACTTGGAGATGTGTCTATATATTTGTTTCGTTTTGTTTACATTGCCGGCATAATATCTTGTCGGCAACAAAATTATACCTTGTTAGACTTGTTAGTAGTGGTGTAAGCAATAAGGTCAGCAGATAGTCTATTCCTAGTTATTCTGCAATGTGTTCTTTTGAATGTCTCTGATTATGCATGTATTCATAATTCAACTGTGTTGTGACTAAACCATTGACTGATGTTACCTTTTTATGTGTTCATAGTAAAGAATTAATAATCCGTGACCACCTTTTGTAGTGATTTTTTTGTCTTGGTTTACTGCCAAAACTATTTTCACCTTTTGCTTCCTGTATGCCAAAAAAGTGTCTTTTCCTCCAAAATGAAAAGATTTCAGGTATGCTTTTCCCAGTTTTATGAAAGTATTTCTATATTTTACTAATTCATGCAGGAACTGGGTACTGCCAGCATCCTTAAGTGTTAGCATCTTTATTATCCCCCGCTTTCACCAAAACGGGGGATATTAATTTTGGTCTGTCTATCTGTCTGTCACGCTTCGTTTCCTTGCAATAACTACAACAAATATTAACCGATTTTCTTCAAACCTGGTCACGGGGTTAAATGCCTTTAGGGCTCGGCCAAGTTCGATGACCACTTTCAGTAGACCCCATTTTGCGGAGTTATGGCCTCTTGAATAACGAAAAACGTAATTATTAGCTCGGATCTATTGGTTCGATTTTGATGAAAATTGGTATATAGGGACACAAGGGGACTGCAAATTCAGCCGCATCGGTTTCGTTGCCATAGCTACCACACAGAGCCTTTTGATTGGTCGCAATTTAGATATTGTTAGATTTTGATGAAAATTGGTATATAGGGATATTAGGGGACTACGAATAAAACCGCATTAGTTTCGTTGCCATAGCAACCACAAGAAGGCTTCTGATTGGTGGAAATTCAGATATTGTTCGATTTTGATCAAAATCGTTATGGAGTGGTATAAGGAGACTGCAAATGCAACCGCATATGTTTCGTTGCCATAGCAACCACATGGAGGCTTCTTATTGGTCGAAATTTAGATATTGTTTGATTTCAATGAAAATTGGTATATAGGGGTATTAGGGGACTGCAAATTCAATCGCATACGTTCTGTTGCCATAGAAACTACACAGAGGATTCGGATTGGTTCCAATTTAGAAATTCACTCAAATTTAGTATGTATATTGTAGGTGTACTATGGCAATGCAATCCTTTTCTGATGCATCTTTGCAACTATGGGGGCAGTTTGGGGGACATCTGTAATGGTCCCCCATTACAATTAGTACTTGTTGCTCTAGATATTGTTAAGATGTTTCAACCAAATTCCTTATGCAGATCCAAATTATGCTAAGTATGCTAACATTGTGATTTGTGCATATTTATGGATAATCAATGAGGTATAGGTTGTTTTTTTTCTTCAAGTTTCAAGCTATACATTATGTCTCAACAGCACAATACTCACATGTTTAAACCTAACCTCAATAATGTTAACCTACAATATGTTCTGCAAGCGGGGGATATAAATTCCACAATTTTGCTTGTTTGACCATCTTTTACTCTCAACATCCTTATATGTCAGCATCCTTTGGTGTCAACATCCTTTAGTGTCAACATCCTTAAGTGTTAGCATATTTAAGATCACCATATTTAAGTGTCAACATCCTAATGTGTATCAATATATTTTAGGGTCATGATTTGTTAGTGTTAAAAATCCATAAGTGTCGGCATTCTTTAGTGTAAGCATCATTTAATATTAGCATCTTCAAGGTCACCTTATTTTAGTGTTAACAACTTTATGTGTCAGCACCCTTTTGTGTCAATTTTCTTTAATGTCAGCATCAAGAAGTCTTGGAAAACTGAAGTATTACTATCCTTTAGTGTCAATACCCTTAAGTGTCAACATCCTTTAGTGTTAGCATCTCAAAGGTCACTATTTTTTTGTGTCATCATTCTGATGTGTCACCATACTCAAGTGTCAACATGCTTAAGTGTCAATGTCCTTATGATTTACCATCCTTTAGCATCAACATCTTTAAGGTCAGCATCCTTTAATGTTGACATCTTCAAGTGTCAACATCCTTTAGTATCAACTTACTTTAGTGTCAACATTCTTTTGTGTCAACATCCTTAAATGTCAGCATCCTTTATTTTTAAACTTCTTTTTGTATCAACATCCTTTTGTTTCACCATCCTACACTGCCTGTCTGCATTCTTTACTGTTAGCATCCTTTACTGTCAACATCTTTAAGGTCAGCATCCTTTACTGTCAATATCCTTTACTGGTAGCATCTTTTACTGTCAACATTCTTTACTGTTAACATCCTTTACTGTAAGCATCCTTTACTGTCAATATCGTTTACTGTAAGCATCTTTTACTGTCAACATCCTTACTGTTTATATCCTTAACTGTTAGCATCATTTACTGCAACATTCTTTACTGTCAACATCTTTAAGGTCAGCATCCTTTACTGTTGGCATCCTTTACTGTCAACATCTTTAAGGTCAGCATCCTTTACTGTTAGCATCCTTTACTGTCAACATTATTTACTGTAAGCATCTATTACTGTCAACATCTTTAAGGTCAGCATCCTTTACTGTCAACATCTTTAAGGTCAGCATCCTTTACTGTCATCATCCTTTACTGTTAGCATCCTTTACTGTCATCATCCTTTACTGTTAGCATCTTTAAGGTCAGCATCCTTTACTTTCAACATCTTTAAGGTCAGCGTCCTTTACTGTTAGCATCCTTTACTATCAACATCTTTAAGATCAGCATCCTTTACTGTCATCATCCTTTACTGTTAGCATATTTAAGGTCAGCATCCTTTAATGTTAGCATCTTTTACTGTCACCATCCTTTCCTGTTACCATCCTTTCCGGTAGCATCCTTTACTGTCAATATTGTTTACTGTAAGCATCTTTTACTGTTAACATTCTTTACTGTTAACATCCTTTACTGTCAACATCCTTCACTGTCAGCATCTTCTACTGTTAACATTCTTTACTGTTAACATCCTTTACTGTTAGCATCCTTTCCTGTCATCATCCTTTACTGTTAGCATATTTAAGGTCAGCATCCTTTTCTGTTAGCATCTTTTACTGTCCCAATCCTTTACTGTCAACATCTATAAGGTCAGCATCCTTTACTGACATCATCCTTTACTGTTAGCATATTTAAGGTCAGCATCCTTTTCTGTTAGCATCTTTTACTGTTAGCATCTTTTCCTGTCAACATCCTTTACTGCCAACATCTTTAAGGTCAGCATTCTTTACTGTCAACATCATTTACTGTTAGCATCTTTTCCTGTCAACATCCTTTACTGCCAACATCTTTAAGGTCAGCAACCTTTACTGTCAACATCTTTTACTGTCAACATTCTTTACTGTCAACATCTTTGAGGTCACCATCCTTTACTGTCATCATCTTTAAGGTCAGCATCCTTTACTGACATCATCCTTTACTGTTAGCATATTTAAGGTCAGCATCCTTTGCTGTTAGCATCTTTAAGGTGAGCATCCTTTACTGTTAGCATCTTCAAGGTCAGCATCCTTTACTGTCACCATCTTTAAGGTCAGCATCATTTACTGTTAGCATCTTTTCCTGTCAACATCCTTTACTGTTAGCATCTTTTACAGTCAACATCCTTTACTGTCAATATCGTTTACTGTAAGCATCTTTTACTGTCAACCTCCTTTACTGTCAACATTATTTACTGTAAGCATCTATTACTGCCAACATCTTTAAGGTCAGCAGCCTTTACTGTCAGCATCCTTTACTGTCATCAACCTTTACTGTTAGCATCTTTTCCTGTCAACATCCTTTACTGTCAGCATCCTTTACTGTTAGCATCTTTTACTGTCAACATCCTTTACTGTCAACATTATTTACTGTTAGCATCTTTTACTGTCAACATCCTTTACTGTCAGCATCCTTTACTATCAACATCTTTAAGGTCAGCATCCTTTACTGTTAGCATCCTTTACTGTCAACATCTTTAAGCTCAGCATTCTTTACTGTCAACATCCTTTACTGTCAACATCCTTTACTGTCAGCATCCTTTACTGTCAACATTATTTACTGTTAGCATCCTTTACTGTTAACATCCTTTACTGTTAGCATCCTTTACTGTCAATATCCTTTACTGTCAACATCCTTTACTGTCAACATCCTTTACTGTCAATATCCTTTACTGTTAGCATCTTTTACTGTCAACATACTTTACTGTTTATATCCTTTACTGTCAACATCCTTTACAGTTAATATCCTTAACTGAGCATCATTTACTGTCAACATTCTTTACTGTCAACATCCTTTACTGTCAGCATCCTTTACTGTCAACATCTTTAAGGTCAACATCCTTTACTGTCAGCATCCTTTACTGTCAATATCCTTTACTGTTAGCATCTTTTACTGTCAACATACTTTACTGTTTATATCCTTTACAGTTAATATCCTTAACTGAGCATCATTTACTGTCAACATTCTTTACTGTCAACATCTTTTACTGTCAGCATCCTTTACTGTCAACATCTTTAAGGTCAACATCCTTTACTGTCAGCATCCTTTACTGTCAATATCCTTTACTGTCAGCATCTTTTACTGTTAACATTCTTTACTGTTAACATCCTTTACTGTAAGCATCTTTTGCTGTTAACATCCTTTACTGTCAACATTCTTAACTGTTAGCATCCTTTACTGTCAAGATTCTTTACTGTAAGCATCATTTACTTTTAGCATCCTTTACTGTTAGCATCCTTTACTGTTAGCATCTTTTACTGTTAACATCCTTTACTGTTTACATCCTTTACTGTAAGCATCTTTTACTGTTAACATCTTTTACTGTTAACATTCTTTACTGTTAGCATCCTATACTGTTAACATCCTTCAATACTGTAAACATCCTGTACTGTCAACATCCTTCACTGTTAGCATTCTTTACTGTCAACATCCTTCACTGTCAGCATCCTTTACTGTCAACATTCTTTACTGTTAACATCCTTTACCCTTAACATCCTATACTGAAAACATCCTTTACTGTCGACATCCTTTAAGGTCAGCATTCTTTACTGTCAACATCTTTTGCTGTTAGCATTCTTTACTGTCAACATCCTTCACTGTCAGCATCTTTTACTGTTAACATTCTTTACTGTTAACATCCTTTACTGTAAGCATCTTTTGCTGTTAACATCCTTCACTGTCAGCATCTTTTGCTGTTAGCATCCTTTACTGTTAGCATCCTTT